ACCCCTGAAAAAAAAAAAAAAAAAAAAAAAAAAAATCCAGAATAACTTTCAAATGACCCAGGGCTGGGGATTAGCACAGTGGTGCCGCTTGCCTTGCAAGCCCAAGGTCCTGAGTTTGATCCCCAGTACCAAAAGAACAAAACAAATCAAGTGACCTATCTATTTAAGTCTTTAACAGAACTCGATCTTTAGATGCAGTGTTAGGATGCTCATACAAAATGAAATGTTTAGACAGAGTATTTTCCGTATAAAAATTGCCATTAGTGTTCTTAACTAGTCTTATGTGATCATTTATCCCATCATTTCTCTTACAGTCAGAGTGCTGTTCTTTTTTCTTATTGCACCACTGTCTGTTTTGCGATCCATGATGTCAAGAGTGGTTCGTTCTACTGAACAAGGTGAGTTTAATTTGTTTAAGGAATATAGTGAGTGTTCTGACTTAAACCTATGTATGTTTGATGCTTCAGAATATTCTACTGCCCCAGTCTCCTTTTTAATTAAGTGGTGAGCTCAGGCAGAGAAGCCACTGATCAGGGTCCTTTCTCTGGCTCTGCCCCACCCCACAAGAAGAAAAGAGAGACCTGAGGGCCAAATGGATGCGTTCCCTGGAGCCCACAGTACTCTCCCCTTCTGCTCAGCTGACTACATGCATCTCTGTAGTTTCCAGCCCATGTGGCTCTGGGTTCATGTCCAGTGACTGCTCATGTGATCCTCTTTTGTGAACTATGCCCCCATGCGCTCCTTCTGGACCACAGTAGACAGCCACTGGCAGAACCCTTCATAGGAAGGTGAGCTTGACCTTGGAATTGCAGAGCTAGGGCTTGCACTGTGAGTAGATCTCTCTTTCTGAGCAAAATGGAATAAGGCATACAACAGAATGGGGATGGCTACAGGCCAATTCTCCCAGGGCCATCATGTTCCTATGTGAAACTTTTTTTTTTTTTTTTTTTTTTTTTGGCCTTGAATGCACTATGTAGCCCAGCCTGGCCTTGAACTCATGATCTTCCTGCTTTGGTCTCTTGGGTGCTGGGATTATAGTTGTGTATCACATGTCCAACTTCTACCTAGAACTCATAAGTTTAAGAATTCTACATTTGTGTCTAGCCTTCCACATTATTATAGAGGTCTGTTTCCTACAGTGAAGCGAGATATATTTTAAAATTAACGGTTCATTAGCTATACTTATAACTTTTAGATAAAGATTTCACTCAGTATCTGAGAAGGTTTGGCTTCAGGACTCGAGCAACCAAAATCCATGTATGTTCAAGTCCCTTATATAAAATTTTACAGTGTTTGCACAGAACCTGCACATACCCTTCTGTATACTTTAAATCATCTCTAGATGATGTATAATACATAACACAATGTAAACACTATGGAAATAGTTGTTATGCTGTAATTTAGAGAATAATGAAGGAAAAAGTCTGTACATGTTCAGGACAAATGAAGCCATAAGAAGGCTTATGCCTAACTGTAATTTTTGATCCACGATTGAATCTTCAGAGGAGGAATGCATGGATACAGAGGGCTAACTGTACTTAGGAGATACAAATATAGGACTCTAATTATATTCTTACATTGGGTCTCACAAATGTTACCACTAGGCCTGAATCTGAGTCATATCAGGAAACAGAATACCACTCAGCTGGCTCAAATTAAGAGACTTCTAAAAAGTGTGGTATAGGGATTGGGCAGTATGGAGATGGCTAGCAAGGTGCTCAGATTGGGACGAAGCAGAGAAGAAACACCATTCTCCAACCCTTTGACCAAGTATGACAGAAAGTTGAGCCAGCAAGGAAGTCCAAGTCATATAATCTAGGGAGTAAGGCTCCCAAACACAGAACAGGGCACAGGAGATCAGACACTTGGCACAGATGGAAAATAACCAGCACAAAAGATAGAATTAAATTTTTAGGGCTGGGGATTTGGCTCAGTGGTTCCGTCGCCTGCCTCGCAAACACTAGGACCCAAGTTTGATCCCCAGTACCACAAAAAAAAAAAAAAAATTCTAATTAGAACTACTAATTATATATTAGTATATGAGGTTATCCTCTTCCCTTTTTGTATCATGTGAATGGTGTTAGATGTAGGTGCTTTCTTTTGTTTAATATATTAGCCTGGTGCAACTAGTCATGTTTAATTATTTATAAATAACTCACAAGTATACTTTTGTATTTATTCCAGGTTAGTCGACACTGGGGAAAACTGAGTAATTTCATACATTTAAAAATAATATTTCTTGATTCTTTTTCATTCATAAGCTATAGCTGTATATGCACACAACTCTTATAGAGTATGTGGTAATAATTACCTTGGAAATCATTTACAAATATAAACATTTATTACTAACTATGCTCTGTAAGATTGTACCCACTTCCTTGGATGATGCAATAATTTCTTAGATATGACACCAGTAGCACAACAAAAGACAAAATAGAAAACAATTAAATTTAAAAATAAATAAATAAAAGTATTTTATTTTACTTCATTCCAAGTCCATCCTTTGAGGGCTGGATGTGTAGTGTGGTGGTAGAATACTTGCCTAGCATATGCTAGACCTTGGAGCCCATACCCAGCACTGAAATTTTTTTGTGTGTGTGCTTCAAAGAACACAATAAAGAAAGTTAAAAGGCAGCATACCGAATTGGAGAAAATATTTGAAATCATAGGTATGAGAGGATACTTGTATACAACATATATAAAAATGCATTAAAAATCAACAACAAAATGACAGACAATTCAGTTTAAAAATTGAGCACAGGATTTGAAAAGACATTTCTCCAAAGAAGATAAACAAATAAATGGCCAGTAAACACACGAAAAAGCTTGAATATATTAGCCATTAGGGAAATAATAGTCAAAACCACAGTGAAGACCAAAAAGATGGCCAAAATAAAACAGTCCGTAAGAAGTACTGGTGAGGATATGGATATATTAGAACCCTCATACACTTCTAGCTGAAATGTAAAATGGTGCATCCTTTGCAAATCAGCTTATCAGCTCCTTGAAAAGTCAGATTACCTTATGAACCAGAGAAATGAAAACATACATCCTCATAAAATCTTGTACACAAATGTTCATAGCAGCAATATTCACAATAGCCAAATGGTGGAAACAATGTAAGTAATGAATTGATAAAATATGGTATATGAGCTAGTGGTCTTTTATTCACGAGTAAAAAGAAATGGTTTTCTGACACACACCATGACAAGTATGAACTACAAAATCATTGCACTAAATGAAAGAAGCTAGTCACAAAATGCCACATATTATCATATGAATTTGATTCCATTTATATGAAATGTTTAGAATAGGCAAATCTGCAGATTTGTAATATCTGGGTAATAAAAGAGTAACTGCTAGTAGAGATAAGACTTTCTTTCTGAGGTGATGAAAACATTACAATTAGAGAGTGGTAATGATTGCATGACTCTGTGAATGTACTAAAAGCTACTAAATTATGCACTAATTTAAAAGAGTGAGTTTTGTGTTATGTGAATTATATCACTAAAGTTGTTAGCAAACAATTACCTGCTTTAGCTTAGATATTAAAGGGGATTTTTGTCAAGATGTATAATTGATTTTTTTTGGTACTGGGGATTGAATTCGGGCCCTTGTGCTTGCAAGGCAGGTGGCAGCACCACTGAGCTAAATCCCCGTATAGTTTCTTATTGTTTATATTTGGTTTAGCTTAAAAGACTTAAAAATCATCCCATACTATTAAATACAATAAGATTTTTAAATGTTTAATTCATATTTTGGCATTTCTTACTCTGAATTATAGTAACTGTGAACTGTGACTCCATTATTCTAGAATAATCTATTTTGTCCCTAACTGTAAACTAAGAAGTACATTGGAGGGTGTCAAAGTTTCCATTATTAAATGTATTCCACCTTCATTATTTTTTTAGAAATGGCCATTTTTGTAAAAATATTGTGTATTATATAATAATCAGAGAAGAGAGGAAATGACATAAAGATTTTTAGGTGTCTCTCATTATCTTTATTATCAAGAAAGATAAGAGGCTAGGGGTGTGGCTCAGTGCAAACCCAACCCTGCACCACGAAAGGTAAGAAAATGGAACTCTGGTAATGATTATTAAATCTCTGTGCCCTATACAGATGTGAAACTCATAGGTGAAGCCATCTGAATTAGCCATTTTGCCTTGCTCATGAACTCCTTGTGATTAAACAACACAATAAAACAGACCTAATTTTTTTAAGTTCTGTTGCATTTTTTAAAGTTTTGAAAATAAAATCACTTGTACTCATTTAATCTTGCTTATATCTGTAACTACTGAGTAAATAGAACTGCGCAGAGAAGTTTAGCAACAAGCTAAAGCTATTTCATAATAGTACATTGTATCTGACAAATGTTGTCCTGTCTGACCTGTTTTCCAACAGAAATGGATTAAAGCCCTTACTTAATACAACTAGCACTCTGCAGTTTGTCCTCCATAACATTATGCATATCTGGCTGCAGCAAGAATCACAAATAAGAGAATACTGTGGTAGGCAACTAGAGCTTTCTTCCAATTAAACTGAGTTTATATATTACAAGTCATAGAAACAGTCTGTGTGCTACTTAATGACTGATGAGTGGGGTCCTGAGTTAAGCATTTATTCATTTATTTGACAAATATTTATTAAATGTCTACCTTGTACCAGGATAGTTGGGCCCTGGAGACACAGCAGCAATCAAGGTAGATGTTACTTGGCACTGACAGAGCTTTCATTTTAGTCAAAAGACCACACAATATTTTGCAGAGATTTATGAATGCATGCCCTATCACTCAATGAAGAATGATTGAACAAAGATACATAGAGTGAAACCAAATGAAAAGATTTTAATGGAAAAAAATGAATACATAGTCTAAAGACTAAGACCCTTAGGAATATTAGAATAGAGACCTTAAAAGTGCAGTCGAGTTATGAAAACATTCCTTAAGCTTGCCTCTCATTCCTATCAGTTCAAGCAAACTCAATTATTTACATAATTTGCATTGTCCAAAAATAATCTACAGTTGTTCATGGAAAAGTAAATTTGGCAAAACAGGTAAGGTACAAGCAGTCATTTGATGACAGTTTGCAGAAGGCAGAAACCACCTGGGGCCTGAGACTGAGGAAGTCATCATGTTGGTCTGGCTGAAAATGGTCACAAAATTTTATACTTAGTGATGCAAAATATGACAAAGGAAGAGAGGTACATCAAGGTGTCCAGCCTGTCCTTAGAGGTTTAACCCTTCATTCAGTGTGGTTTTCAGATTCTTGGTACAACTAAAGAATTGGGCAAATGATATCGATTTTTAATTGTGACATAGACTGCATGTGCAGTCATTTTGTGCTTCTGAACATTACTGAGCAGGCTGCCCTTTACCAAACATGCAGAGATAGCAAGGGTTACTGCCACAGTCTTCTCAGTCTGGCAAGGTGCCCAAACAAGAGGTAGAAAATAAGAGGTAAAACTGCATTTTAGAGAACCATTTAACATTGCACTGCAGCATAAACCTTTACTAGAGCCTTGGGGTAATTGTGACATGCAAAATTCTAGAGGTGACTACATTTTTTGGGTCACTTTGGAGGGATGAATGAAACTGAAGCTGTAGAATGCATGATAAGAATCTTATCTCTGCCTGCAGCTGTCACGCTTGCCACAACTGAGAAGCCCAGGAAAAGGACTTCTTTTCTTTTCCAAAGGAGTCCTCCTGTCACACAGTGTCACAGATGAATGTAAGACATAGAGTGGGAGAGGGCAGGACTATCTGTAGCTTGGCGTTAGGCTTTGGAAGGAGAAGACACTGCACTTTCCAAACAAGTCAGCTGCTAGTACCTTTTTAGCTTTGACCAAGGGACACTGGAACTTGGTTCTTTTGGGTTTTCAGCATCTCTGCTATCAAGTCCAAGGAGAGCTTTTTGCCTCAGGCTCTCTGTCTGCAAAATGGATTTCTGATTTATCCAGGATTTTGACAGAACATTTTTCTTTCACTAAGCAGTGTCCCATCTTTGCTGTTTTCAGTGAATAAATTTTCTTTATTAGTTTTGTTTCCTGTTTTGTAATTGTCTTTTTTTTCCTCCCTATACCTCTACCCTTGTATAGGTACCCTGTTTGCTTGTATTGCATTCCTAGAAACACTTGGTGGAGTCATTGCAACTTCTGCTTTTAATGGAATTTATTCAGCCACTGTTTCTTGGTACCCTGGCTTCGTTTTTTTGCTGTCTGCTGGTGTATTACTCATTCCAGTGATCAATCTATGGTAGGTAATTATTTTTAATAATTTTTTTCAAAGGGCAGCCCAATTAAAGGAATTCCTCAATCTCACAAGTAAAAATTACATAGATCTATTAGAATTTTACCTTAGACTGCTTTTCTCCAGATCTTTTGGATATGAAAACATTTGTCAGTAATGTTGGAGATGCTGAAAGAGATGGTGGCAGGGCTAACCAAACTAAAAGAAAGATTGGGTCAGGGACCCCAAGAAGTTAACCTCTGTTTTTGTTTTTGTGGTACTAAGGATTGAAATGGTACAACCTAGCCCTTTTATTTTTTGAGATAGGGCCTCACTAAGTTTCCCAGGTTGGGCTCAATGTGGCAGTTCTTCTGCCTCAGTCTCTCAGAGTAGTAAGATTATAGGCACATGTCATCATGTGTCTTTAAGTATAAAAACTGATGAAATTTTTATCTTACAACAGAGATATTGATATTCAAATGATGATTCCCCTGAGTATAACATCCTGATGGCCAAAGATTGCTCTAATAAGATTTCCTTTAATATGGATTATTAGATAAATGACAAAATGAGATAGAATGCACCAAATATTAAGAGGTCTGTTTTTTTTTTTAATGCTGGCTTCTTTAAGGCTCCCTTTTTAATGTGAACATTCAAATCAATACAAAGTGCAAAATTCTATTTATGGGTAGTATATACAATAAAGAGATATAAACATATTTTTGTCTTCCAACTAACAAAAAGTGTGAGCCAACTAAATAAGTGGTCATGGCAACACTCAAGTATTTATTTGGGGGCCCAGAGTGGTGAGCTAAGAGCTCATTAACCTGATTCTGCTGAACTTTGTCCCTTTCACATGGTTGGTAGCATGGTATGGTGATGGGAAGCAAGGGGAAAAGTTTACAAGGAGCTGGGCCTTCTCTTCAGCGCTTTGGGGTAAGGCTGTGAGTGGGGAGAATAGTGTGTACAATCTCTGCTGTTCAGCATTCTGCTGAGACCATGGACTCCATGAAGGCTGGCCCAGGTCTTATTCACAGCAGACCCTCCATAGATACTGTTCCAATTGAATTCTTATACCTAGAATACACTGTCAGGAAAGGCACAGTGTATAATATTATTTTCAGTTCTTCTATGACAAAAACATGATTTTTACTAGGTGTCTTTTATTTTGGGTTTTTATTCTTAGGGTTTTTTGTTTTTGTTTTGAGACAGGTCTTCTTTCAAAAACTACATAGTGATGGATCCAGTGATCCTTTTAAAAATAAATAGTAAGAAAATAATCAGGAATATTGTAAAACTGACATATAAAAGGAAGCTTATTTCAGCAAAAAAACTTAAGTGATCAAAATGTCCAAAAGGAAGGGAATGTTTAAGTCAGTGATGGTGCAGCCATATCAAGAAAAGTGACTTAATAAGAAATGCTTACATGGAGATAGATTAATGGGTACTTCTAATTTTATTTTTCATGTATGTATGATTATTATAGTTATGAAAAAAAGGCAGTTATCCTTTTCATAAGTGTCGATGGGCATCTGAGTTTTAACCCTGTTTTGCTCAATATTTTTAAAATAAAAATCTCTTGGTGTTTTATTTCCAAATGTCCTTGCTTCCTAGCTTCAGTTCCAACTATTGAACAGAAATTCCAGTAATAGCTTTAGTTGTTAAGGATTGTACGGGTACTCCACAGGGGAAATAGTGGGATATTAAGGGTCTAGAAGAGAAAAACCTCATAAATGTTTTATAATTTTGAGAATGTTCATGAGTTAGTTGAACTCAAAATGCCAGGATGCTCCTTTTATATGTAATTTGCATAATTTATTAAAAACCATGTAACCATGAAAAAGATGGAGTACAGATGACTTATTTATGCATTGCCTTAATCTGTGACACAATACTTTGTTTTGCTTCTACAGTGCTACCAAGTGTATCAGCTGGAATGAGGAGAGCTATGCAGTTCTTGCACAAAGAGAGCCCAGAGAAGACCCTTCAGACACATGATTGGGAACATTAATGGGACATACGGTACTTTTTAAGGATACAGATGAACTATGCAATCAATGCTTTATTAATAATCAATGTTACACAGTCCTCTTTTTCCCCAACAAAACAGAATCAGAGCCTGGCTTTCACTTCTTCCAGCACTTTGGCCTTTTTAGGACTTTGGGCTTATCCTGCAATATGTTTACAATACACCAAAGAAATCTCAGAAAACTTGAGTTTGGACTTAAAGAAGAAACAAACTAAAAAGTGAAAAGAGGAATTAAGAAACTCTAATAAGGTCAAAAGCAATAATCTCAATGACATACTCTGGTCACTTTTAATACCTCAATTTCTTCACCTGCAAAATGGATTTTTGGATCACCATCACGGAATTTGAAAGTATAATGAAAAGTTAGGAAAAATGATGAGTATAAAAATAGTGATGTTTCAAATATTAATAATATAATTTCACCTATCCTTGAGTAATTCTTTGTTTTATCAGTAGTCAAAGCTTTTAATAGACACATAATCCTTAAAAGAGAAGCACTTTAAAGAATATACACTTCTTACTTCTCCTAATTGGTTTCATCAGTGACAAGCACAATACGTTTATATGTAACAGGTGACTGAAAAAATATTATAAATAAGACAGTCTTAAAGAAATTTAAAAACTCAATAGTTAATTGTGATGAAAAGTAATACTACAGAGCAGTGGTGGCAAACCTATGATACCCCAGTGGGTCCACAGAGCCCTGTCTGTCAGCATGTGAGCTAAGTCACCCTAGCAGCCGAGCGTCAGACAACAGGTGTTTTTTTCTAAATGAAAATATCAGTTTCAGGTTTAATTGCAGTGTTAGTACTTTGCAATATATAAGTGGATTTGGAGTTTTAGTTTGGGCACTTGGTCTCTAAAACGTTCTAAAAGGATGTCCACCTTGCATAAATCTTGGCTAGAATTTTACCTTTAATCTTTCTTACCCACCTTTTGCTCATCCTCAGGGCATTTCTAAAATACAGACCTTGCACTCTACAAGTTAGAATCCTCAGCATCTATTGTCCATAGGAAGTTGATCAAACAAGCAAGCTATCATGAACTGTCCCCTTTGTATCTTATTAAGTAGAGCTTTATACTCATCCTAGGATCCATCCTTTCAGAAAAAACACATTCTCTTGTACCACCATGTCTTATTACTTAGTGCCATTTATCCTTCCTCCCACCCAATATCAAAACAGTCAGTCAAAACATTGCTTTACTGGTATAGCTGATTGTATTAGTTACTTTCATGTTGCTGTGACATAACAATGTACAATGAAGCTTATAAGAGGAGAGATTTTTGACCCATAGTTTCATTGGGATCAGTCCATTGTCAGCTGGCTAGAGAGCAGAAACAGCATGGTGGAAGGGCCCAACAGTGGACAGCTGCTCATCTCATGGCATCCAGGAAGCAGAAGGGGAGGAGACAAGGATACACCCTTCCAGCTCACACCTTCAGGAACTCACCTATTCTGAGCAGGCCCCATCTCCTAATAGCACATAGTACATTCAGCTACTGAACTCATCAATGAATGAATCCACTAATGAGTATAGAGCCCCCATGGTCTAATCATCTTCCAAACATGAGACTAATTGGGGACATTTTAGACCTAAACTGCAGTGCTGGTGTTCTTGATATGTCAGTCACCCCTCACCTCCTCCAACCCCTCCAGGGCTGTTATAGCTCTGTTTGTATTAGTTGGTACTTACCAGAGTCAGATGTAGGACCCAAAGAATCCATTCAAAGACTTGGAGCCCACAGCAGTGTCCCTTGCAAGTCTGTATTGAGGATCTACACTGGAACGGCCCAAGGGCCAGTAGTGAAAGCTCGGGGAAAGTCCATGCCAGCAGGGTGAAGGATCTGTGCTGGAAGGCTGAGAGATCTGCACTCGAAGCCAGGAGACAATGAACATGAAGATGAGGACTGAAGCTCTCCCAAAGGAAGGCAGCAGTCAAAACTCTCCTGAAGAAAAATCACTGAAAAGCAGCTTCTTCAGGAAATTCAGCATCATGCAATCTTTCCCTCCTATTCTTTTATGCCATTCCTCAGGTGGGTCTTCCACTCTTAGAACCATGCTGACTCAGTTCAGCTAGGCCTTCCCACTTAAGGTGACCATCAGTTAATCTACCAGTGTGTGTGTGCACGGATGGATGGTATGGTATTTCCACTCCAGCATTTTCCATTACCCAGTTTTTCTCTATTTGACAATCACCTCCTTGAGGACAAAGATTTTTTTTATTATTCATTATATGTTCATTAAATGTTCATGGAATTAAACTAATGACTACAAAACTTTATTTTTGTGAAATTTACTTAATTCTATATATTAAATGCTATATGAGATGATCACTGATATCATGCCATAACTATTAAGCCAGCTTTGTGAAAAAATTGAAAAATATGCTAACCTGAACATTTTTTTTTTTTTTTTGATACAGGGTCTCACTATGTAGTTGAGACTGACCTGACCTGGAACTCACTATGTAGCCCAGGCTGGACTTGAACTCACAGTGATCCTCCTATCTCAGCCTCCCAAGTGCTGGGATTACAGGCCTGCACCACCATGACCGGCCTTGCTTTTTGTTTTGTTTTGTTTTGTTGTTGTTGCTGAACATTTTAAAATCAATTTGTTGTGGGATAAAAGAGACAGGAGACCATTGGGACCCAGGAGGATTTATTGGGTACATTTTAACTCAGTTGGACTTTCTGTCTAAAAAGACTGAGCACCAGACAAGGAAATGTTTTTGGTTTTTATACATTTTCTAAAAGGGGGTGGTCTTTCCAGTGACATGAAGCAGGGGGTGGTGGTAGCAAGCAAGGTTACAGAAACAAAGCAAGTTAGTCACATCTCACAGGATGACAGTTTTGCTCCTTGTGAATCTTGTGAGAACAACACATCATGAACTCTGTTTACAGGACATAGTTGCCAGTCTCATTTATCTTTGAGAGCATATAATTTCTTCTTTTGTTGTTTTTTTTGTTTGTTTGTTCCATTTTTTGAGACAGGGTCTCACTATATAGTTGAGACTGACCTGGAACTCACTATGTAGCCCAGGCTGGTCTCAGACTCACAGCGATCCTCCTGCCTCAGTCTCCTGAGTGCTGGGATTACAGGCATGTTGCCACCATGCCTGGCTTTAGAGCATATAGTTTCTTAAAGGTTGCAAAGACTTCATTTACAGGAAGGTAACTGTCTGCCCTATTAGTATGGGGTAAGGGTTAACTTTGAAGGCAGATTTCTGCAAGAACCTAGCTATTTACCTTTTCTGTAGCAGAGCAGAGGTCAGTGGGAGTGGGGAGCTGCAAGGAGCTAGGAGACTGCTTTTTAAAAGGAAAACTGATTTTAATTTCTGCATTAGATTTACAGCATTTTCATAGGTCCTCCAATATCTTCCATTTTCTAATTACCATATATAATACACACAGGTGCCTTGAAGTGCCACTGCATGGTTAATTAACTTCTTTGTAATCTGAAAGCAGATATATTTGTCTATTTGGTAGTACTGCTTTGGGATTTTTTTTTTTCTGTAAGATAACTAATGACTGCTTGACTAGCAAATAATACTTGTAATTTAATATACTAGAAATTCTAATTCCCAGGGCCATTCTTTTTAGTTTTGGTTAATATCTTCTGGGCCAATAGCCCACATAATATCTGATAGTTTCTCAGATGGATTGATTGATTTTTGTTTGATACTCTTCCAAAACCAAAAGAAAAAGCAGTTTTAGGGTTTACAGGTGCTTAACTGTGCAGTAAGAGATCATTACTAAATATGATGCTAAAGAGACGTAGGGAAATCCACAAGTTGATGAGATGGGGAATGTACTCAAGACAGAAAACGAAAGCTTCCATCTAATCTCCATTATGTAACCTATGTGGAGAAAGAAAATAAAAGGAGGTCTGGTCTTTATAGAGTACAGATAAAATAAAACCAAGAAGGAAAAACATGTTTCCTTTTATCCAGCAGTGTAAAATAGGAGTTAAATAGACTATACCTACTATAAACGATATTTCCATCATTAGAGAAGTGTATTTCTTCTCAGTATTTTTTTCTTGGTACCAGGGATCAAACTCAGGGCCTTGTACTTACCAGGCAGGCACAGCACTACTGAGCTACATCCCCAGCCCTGGAGAAGTATATTTCTATTTCTGCAAGGATCATCCATAACCTGCACTGCGCAGCCTTAAAATCATCCAAATCTTTTCCTTTTTTTCCCCCACTCTTACAAAGTAGTTTTCCTGTACCTTCTTTTGTTTTCCATAGTTTTGGTTACCTGTGATCAAAAAAAGTCCAGAAATATTTGTTTGTTTTTTCCTCATTAAGTTTATTGGTATGTTTTAGGTATACTACACAGTTACATTCATTATTGGGATCTTGTACCTTTACATGACAGGTCTTGGTTATCATTTTTTTCCCTTGTCCCTGCCCTCCCTTCACCCCCTCCTTACCCTCCCCATTTACAAACACTTCATTTCCATTTTTTCATTTTCTCATATTTTTTTCCTTTTCCCTTACTCCCTTTCCCCTACCCTTCCCACTTTCCCTACACCTTTAGCCCTTTTCTTCCTATTTCACTTTGTGTGTGTGTGTGTGTGTGTGAGACACTGTCTCACTATGTAGTTGAGACTGACCTGGAACTCACTTTGTAGCCCAGGCTGGTTTTGAACTCACAACAATCCTCCTGCCTCAGCCTCGCAAGTGCTGGGATTACAGGCATGCGCTACCACGCCTGGCCAGAAATATTAATATATGTGTCAACTCTCTGAAGAGAATACATTTACATGCCTTTTATTATACTATATTATAATTATCCTACTTTATGAGTAGCTATTATTATTATTGTCTTTCACTTTGTCTAATGTATAAATTAAACCTTACTACAGGTATACATTTATAGTACTATCTGCAATATTAAGACTCCACTGGGGGGGTCCTAGAACATATCCCATGGATAAAGGGGGATTATTGTATCACTGAATAACCTCCTGGTTACTCATTCAATATCCAGAAATTTTGGTAGTAAGAATAGGGTACCCTGGGTTGAGTATTCTTTCAGAGAAATGACTAAGAATTGGAATCAATGAAAGAATTTTAAAAAGAAAACATATCTTGGTCTCATACCCTAGGGGTTTGAACTCAATAGGTCTAAGGTCAGGTCTTGGAATCTATTTTAAAATCCTCCCCCTGGTAGCTGATAAGCATCCAGATCTGGAAACTGCTGCCTAGATGAATGTTTCTCAACTTTAAATGTACATTAAAATAATCAGTATGGGAACAGAGAGTAAAATAAATACAAAGTATTTAGGCCAATAGTTCTCAAACCTTGTCTGCCAAGTCAAATCGCCTGTCTTTTAAAACCTCCAGTATCCCAGTTTCTGCCCAAATCAGTCAAATCAGTTTCTTGAAGTGAGATCTAGCACTTTTTTCAGACATCGTCCAGATATTCACAGTAAAGACATCTTTCTTATAAACACTGGCATTTTAGAATGCCATAAAGTGGTAAAGACATAAGGTTCTTAGTACAGTTCTTAGCTCATGGTATTATAGACAGCTGAGTTAGAAATAATATAGGCAGTCAGATAGGGCTAGATCCTTGACAGTCAGGATAAAGGTGAAACACACCACGACTGCCTCCAGAAACACATCTGTTGGACACCGGGCCTCAAGATAAAGATAAGATGACCAGATCTGTGTACTTCTTCAAAGAACAAACATTGGGCCTAATGAAAGTCCAGATAAACAGCAGCCACCATAGTAGGTGACCAGAGACCTCTGGACCTATCATCTCCTAAGTCTTTGTTCTTTCCATCCACACTTGTTACATGACTTGTTTCCTGACTGGACTACTGTTACCTAAGTGATTATAATTGTAATCTTATTGGTTGATCATGGCTATGGCCCATGTTGTACCCATGTGGGTTTTGCTCTATAAAACTCCTCTGTGGGGTTTGTTGGCTACCCACTCAGGTCCCCTCCTACCTCTTGGGAGCTATTTCATCTCTGGTATTATTTCCAATCAATAGTGGCTCAAAAGTCGGTTTAATTTGCCTACTTTGAAAAAGTCCTCAACTCTGATGCTGGCTGTACTGACAG